GTATTTTATGGTAGCCTGTATGCGTAAATTCCTGGAAACAACGGATGCACAAGGTGTCTTCAGCTTTCATTAAAGGCTCATGGCATCCTTCGCATAATTGCGGAAACAGGAGATGAGAGAGGCCGTTGGCCATTTCTTGCAGCAGGGGCATGATTATTGGGTCGCAAAAACCATGCAAATGTTTCAATGATCTGCTATGTATTAAATAGCTTGTGCTAAAAACTTAACGTAGGCTTACCGGCCTGAAACCTATTTTTGTAAACTGTGAAATCTACGAAGGAAACTATAGTCCGGGACCTTAGCTGGCTGGCATTTAACGAGCGTGTATTGCAGGAGGCAAAAGATCCGATGGTGCCTTTATATGAGCGCCTGCGGTTCCTGGGTATCTTCTCCAACAATATGGATGAATTTTTCAGGGTACGTGTAGCTACCCTTAGCCGGATGGTACGCCTCGGTAAATCAGCCAAAGTGCACCTGGAAGCTAATCCGGCCAAGATCCTGCAGCAGATACAACAAACTGTATTACACCAGCAGGCCGATTTTGACCGGACCTATGCAGGCATTATCCTGGAGCTGCAGAAGGAAGGAATCCTGATCAAAAATGATAACCAGCTAAGCGAGCTGCAGCGGGAGTTTGTGCATCGTTATTTTGATGAGCGTGTGCGTACGCAGATTGCCCCGCTGATGATAGAAAGCATACCGGTAATGCCCTTGCTGAATGACAAGGCGGTGTACCTGGCCTGTGTGCTGGGCAATACCGAAAACCCGATGCTGCAACGGTATGCGCTGATCTCCATTCCTACCAAAGTATTGCCCAGGTTTGTAACCCTCCCCAGCGACGGTGATACGCGGGATATTATCCTGCTGGAAGATATTATACGCGTGAGCCTGCCCAATCTTTTCGGGGCTTTCGGGTTCAACCGCTTCCTGAGTTATATTATTAAGGTGACGCGCGATGCGGAGCTGGAGATTGACAGTGCGGAAGTAAGCACCAATATTATTTCGGAGCTTGAAAAGGGACTGAAAAACCGGAAGAAGGGACGCGCTACGCGCTTTGTTTTCGACCGTAATATAGAAGCCAGCCTGCTCGATTACCTGGTGAAAAGACTAAACCTCAGCGGGCGTGACAACCTGATCCCCGGCGGGCGTATCCATAACTTTAAAG